CCTCCCACAGATGTGCACTGATATCACCAAGGTGTTAATTAGTTCCAGTTTGGATTTTGCCATTTTTCTGAATCCTGAATGGTTGTCTTACATAATTGCTTTACGGTAAATCCTGGGTGTTTTCTGATTTCACCCTCAGTATTTTGACAGCTAGTCAACCCCAAGGCTCTGTGGCTCCCGCGGATTTGTATGTTGCTGAGACAGCGACGGCCTCCGTGCTCACCACAAGCATCCTGGGCACCTGGCTCCCAGGGCCCTGCAGCCGCAGTGTTGTCTTTGATCTTCTCTAATCTTTAGAAGCGAGCTGAGGTCTACTGTGGACCTGCTGTTTTAAATCTTGGCCGAGCAATGTGCCACAGCACACAGTCATTCTTTGTCATGTTTAGTGGGCTGTTGGCTGACACTTTATCTTTATTGACAGCAAGAATGAAGCTGCCTTACTGCCCCAAGCATGTGTTCCCAGCCTTTAGAAAGCACTTGTTTTCTCAAGTCTGGGCCAATATTTGACCCTGAGTGATTTTACACTGGGAGCACCCTTGTAAAATCTGAGGTGTGAAAGTTCCGGGTTTCTTTGTGAATGGAAAGGGGCACTTGAACGTCATTTTCTGAGGAAGAAGAACATGTGAAGTCGGGGGTCTGGGACTCCCAGAAGGGCTCTGTGCATGCTGTAATTCCCAGAGAACAGCTGTGTGGGCAAGCTTCCTTGGGGCTGAGACTGAGCGGACTGCAGGGGCAGAGGGCTGGAGACCCTGTTGAGTCAGGGACATCCATGGAGGGGCGCACTGGTGAGAAGAGAGTGCTTGTTTGTTTTTGTCTTTTTGAGACAGGGTCTCGCTATGCAGTTCAGGCTGGCCTTGAGCTCACTTTGCAGCCCAGGCTGGTCTGGAACTCGATCCTCCTGCCTCAGTCTCCCAAGTGCTGGAATTACAGACATGCGCCACCAGGCCCAGCTTCTTTTGTTGTTGTTGCTTTTTGTTTTGTTTTGTTTTGTTTTAGAACAGAGTGCCTGAAGGCTAAGGCTTTCACCACTTGTACTGTATCCAAATGGATAGTATGGATGATGGATTACACTGAGGAAATGCCTGCTCATTTTTGATTGTGCTCAGCTGGTTTTCTTATTAATAATATGCTTTTAAAAACTCCTTTGTTTTTTCTTAGTCATAGTTTTTTGTTTTTTTTTTTTCCTGTCCTAAATGTTTTTCCTTGAAGGAAACAAACCATTGATTTCCCTCCCCCGCCCCCACCTTCCCTTCTCTTCCTCTCTCTTTGCTCCTTCCTTCCTGTAGGTCGTACAGCCCAGTGGACAGGCTGAAGGGCCTGTTTACTCAGCTGAAACCCTCCCAGTCTAGTTGCTGTGTGTGGTTTTCCCTCCTGTCCTGAGTCCTTGTACATGTGAATGCTATTTTAATGTCTGTCGGTGTGCGTGCATATTTTAAATTGTAAATGGAAACGTTAGAGTTGTATATCTTTATGGGGTACAAGGCAGTGTTATGATTTCTTAATACAATTAAATCAAGCTAATTGGCATATCCATTTGATATAGGGATGTGATATCAGAACCTCTAAATGATATGGAAAGCATTATAACGTCTAACCTGTTAGAAGTCTGATACATTGAGTGTGTATTACCTAAAATCGAAGAATGAATTTTAGGAAGAACAGAGGTTATGAGTAGGAAACTTTATAGAGGGATAGAAAACTCTTGCCTGAGAGGGACAGGAGAGGATACCTGGAAAGTAGGCTGCCTGAGGACCCCACTTCCTAGGGGAAATTTTATGGAGCTCAACCACATGGGTATGTGGGTTACAGCTATGATCAACCAGTAAGATTATAAGGATAGCTACCTAGGTAGTGTGATCCAATGGGGAAGCAGTTCATGTAGCCATTGGGCATGGAAAGAACAGAGACCTTTGCAGAGAGGTGATGGATCTGGGGGGCTCATTTGCCCGCTGAGGGACTGATGTCTATCTAGACTTTACTAGGCCAGGTGTTGTCCCTGATCTCACCCCTTGGGGAGTACGTAGGCCTGGTCCTTTTGTTGTTACCGTGAGGCCTGGCCTCCAACTGCTGGGCCTCTCACTACAGTTGGATTGTGTTTTATCTTTTGTCTTGACTCTTTCAAGGGCCCAGCCTTGTGTGCCTGTAATATTCCTACCTAACTTAGCTATTATACATGGACCTCAAAAAATTATTTTTTAATGGTGAAAACATTCAAAATTTACTCTTAGGGAACTTGAAATGTACAATACATTGTTATTGACTATATTCACCATGCTGTGCAGTGTCTCTCAAAGGAAAAAACCTTCTTCCTCCTGTCTAACAGAGGCTTTGCACCCTTTAACCAGTGTCTCCTCATGTCTGGTCACCCCCATCCTACTCCCTGCTTCTCTGGACTCCTCTAGCTTTATTCTACCTGTAAGAGAGAACAGACCTTATTCATCTTTCTGTGCCTGGCTAACTTCAATTTGCATACCGTTCTTGGCTTTTATCCACATCTCAAAAGAAAGGCTGAGTAATATTCCATAGTGTAGTGACAGTGAACCTTTTAGAGCTTTCAGTGATACAAATAGCGCGCTGCAGCACGTGTGCCGTAGGTTCGCCACCACTGCCATAGTATATTTATGCCACATTTTCTTTATCCATTCATCTGTTGGTGGAGACATAGGTTGATTCCTTAGCTTGGCTGTGATGAGTAGATCTGCAGAGCACAAGGGAGTGTGTACATCTCTTTGACATGTAAATACCCAGAAGTGGGGTTTCTGGACTGGATCACGCGGTAGTTCTGTTTTCGGAGAAACCCCATAGCATTTTCCGCAATGGCTGTACTCTTTCCGTATCTCCCAACAGTGGACAGGGTGTGTACAAGTGACAGCTCCAGCTTTGCTCTTTTTGCTTGCGATTACCTTGACTATTCAGGTTTTTTATTGTGTGGTTCTATAGACATTTTTAGGATTGTTCTTCCTATATCTGTGAAAAATGACACTGGAATTTTGATAGGAAATGCATTTTTCCACATCCTCACTGACAGTTGTCCTTTTGTCTTTCTAATGGTTACTTTGATAAGGTGTGAGGTGATCCTTCATTGTGATTTTTTAAAACTTTTTTTATTTTAAAGAAAAGGAAACAAAAAACATGAAAACAAAAAAAATTTCCAAAACAATGACAGAAGGGTAACAATGGTCAACACATTGAGTACTGTTATCTTCAAATCAATTACTTAGAATACAAGGTACCAGCATTTAATTGTCCAAACAATATTAGCACAAACCTATCCCTTCAATGAACTCAGAGAAATCAGCAGTACAACTATCTTAACTAACCTTTATATATATAAATCTTTTTTTCCTTTTTCCTTCTTTTTTTCCCTTCCCCTAAACCAGTTTCTCTTTCCTTTTGAAGTTTCTTCCCATTTTACAATATCCACTGTACAACTTGGATCACATTTATTCTTTCAGCTTCTCACACTAGGGAGACAGTATGACTTCACTGTGATTTTAACTTGTATTTTCTTTTTTCGTGGTATTGGGAATCGAACTCAGGACCTTGTGCTTGCCAGGCAGGCACTGTGCTGCTGAGCTATATCCCCGGCTCTAATTTGCATTTTCTAATGATTAGTGATGTTGAGTGTTTTGTCACATACATGGTGGCCATTTGGACATCTTCATTTAGGAAATGTGAATTCAGGTCCACTGTCCGTTAATTGATTCTTTTCTTTCTGTAGAGTTGAGTTCTTTATGTAGTGAAGATACCAACCTCTCAGCAGATGAGTGGTTTGCAAGCATTTTCTCCCCATCTATAGATTGTCACTCACTCTGTTGGTTGCTTCATTTATTATACAGAACATTTATTTTAGTGCCTCAGTTATCTATTTTCATCTATTTTTTGTTGTCTAGTTTTTGTTTTTATTGCCTGTGTTTGGAGAGTCAAATATAAAACCTCATTGCCCAGGCTAATGTCATATGGTTTTTCTTATGTGCTTTTCTTTCTAGTAGTTTCATAGTTTCAGGGCTAGGTTTAAGTCTCTAATCCAGTTTGAGTTGACTTTTGTACGTGAAATAAGGGTCCAGTTTTATTTTTCTACATGTGGATACCCACTGTTCCCTACACTGTTGTTGAAGAGATTGTCTTTTCTCCATTGTGTGCTTGGCACCTTTGTCAGTGATCAGTTGACCATAGAAGTGTGGGTTCATTTCTGGGCTCTATTCTGCTCCACTGGCCAGTGCGTGTTTTTAATGTTTATACCACACTGTTTTCATTACTTTTCATGTGTAGTTTATTTTGAACTCTGGTAGTGCAATGCATCCAGCTTTGTTCTTTTTGTTCAAAATCACCTTGGCTATTCAAAGTTTTTTGTGGTTCTATATGAATTTTAGGAATGACATTGGAATTTTGATACAGATTATACTGTGGACCTTTAAACAGTATTAATTCTCCCAATTCATGAATATGAGATTATCTTTTCCATTTGTTTCTGTCCAAATGTGTGTGTGTGTGTGTGTGTGTGTGTGCATTTCCATTATGAGTTTGGCAATTTGATCACAAAATATAGTCATGCCTTCCCTACCCATTAAATTAAAAAGTTATTTTTGAGATGGTGTCACACTATGCAATTCAAACTAGCCTCAAACTTACAGTGACCCTCCTGCCTTAAGTCTCCCGAGTGCTGGGGATTACAGGTGTGCATCCATACCAGGAAATTAATATCATAGAATTTATATCATATAAATTCCAACCAACTGCTTCTCTAAACACCCTCAGTCACCTATAGTGAGTTGTTCTCCGGTACCAGGAACCGAACTCACGACCTTGAGCTTGCCAGGCAGGCGCTATAGTGAGTTGTTAATACTACAAAAGTGAGCATAAAATTCAAGACACCAAATTTGTGAGAATCTAGATTTTGCTCTGGATATTGCCTAAGAAATCTGTGACTCACTGCGGTTGTGTGCTCTTTTCGCCAACTTACAGCTCCTAACTCTGCTGTATGTGGTCCTTCCACTTAGGTTTTATTTCCAGGGACCTTGTGGGACAACTCTTCCTGAGGCCCTTGCTCGTCATGAAACTGAAACTATTTAAGTGTCCTTGGAGAGGAAGAAAGAACCACGCCACAAACAGGAGAAACAGTCTGTGGATGGTAAGACCAGAAGATCTAAACCTTCTGATTCCTTGGCTGGAATCCAACTATTGCTAAATTACTGAGATTAGAAGAAGTCAGACAAATATAAAATTAATGTATGTTTGTTATGTGCTGAAATGTGCCTTACATTTGTCTTTGCTTATTGAGAGGGAAAAATCTGTAATGAGATTGTCTTTAAAACATTAATTATCCTGATGTATTTTTCTCTGTGGAAAAGATAGAAGGGTAAAAACCTGGCATTCAATTCTGATTTTTGCACCAGTATTGATAGAAAATGAGATCACTGTCTACAGTAGGGAATTTATTATATAAAGATGTTACCCCAAAAGATACCTTTTTAAGGGCCGTTCTGTCTCAGTGTTTACTTTGTTTGGCTGCCTTACCTCAAAGAACATGCAGTAATTTACAAGAACTCGATGGAAGGAAGGAAGGAAGGAAGGAAGGAAGGAAGGAAGGAAGGAAGGAAGGAAGGGACGGACGGACAGATGGACAGAGGGCGGGACGGAGGGAGGGAGAAGTAAGGGGGACGGAGGGAGGGACAAACGGTGCAAAACCAGGATGAGAAAAAAGAACAGTGCAAATATGTGGATCGCCCAAGGATCAAAACAGGTATCCTGTCAAACTCTGTCATTTTAATAAACCCAAACGTCCATTGTGGGGGGGGGGAGAGGGAGGTTCATAACCTTCGGAGCACGGGCCAGGTACCCCGAGGGCTTGATTCACATGCTGGGGGTGGGTCAAGCGCTGTGTGTCACGATAAAGCTTTCTAACACCTACTGTGCAGCTCTTGAACATACTGAAACACCACGCACTGTCAGTGGGCTGGGTCCTTGGGCTTCTCCAAGTCACCTACAAACACTGCCCCGGTGTCAGTGGTGGAAGGCAGCAGACTGTCCCAGGGAGTCTGGGGACCTTTCTGAGTTGGAGTTTCTGACTATGACCCAGAGGTTACAGACTTGTCGGAGTACCAATAACTCTGTCTGTTCTTGTGTTCTTTTGTTTTTTGTCTTTTTGAGACAGGGTCTCACTATGCAGGTCAGGTTGGCCTTGAGCTCACTTTGTAGCCCAGCCTGGCCTCAAACTCGCAGCGATCCACTTGCCTCCGCCTCCTGAGTGCTGGGATTACAGGCGTGCGCCACCACGCGCAGCTGTGACGTTTTGTCATTGTTCATATTCGGTTCTGCTGTTTTTAGAGGGGTAATTGATAAATGATAAGCAAGCCCTGGGCCTCACCCTGAAGCCCCCGGGACGGCTGGATAACCACCCCGCACACTATTGCTCAGTGTGAGAGCTAGAAATTTGTGCAAGATTCAGAGGAAAGTGCAATTAGAGATGGGGAGAGCGGTAACCGGGGATGTTTCAGCCTTAGTGCAAGGTTTTGAAGTGTAAATAGGAGCCCTACACGGGAGCGTGCCTGTATCAGTTGATGCAACAGCGCTTCCAAGTGCATGGTGAGTGTGAAGCAGCCTGGCGTGTGCAGAGAACAGCAGGTCATCTAGCACTGTATAATGGGGCGAGGGGAGACAGAAAATGTATTCTGGGGGACTAACACAGGGTGCACGCAAAGGTAGGAGGCACTCACGCTTTGCACAGATACTCAGCACGTGCGACGGGGCCGCCGCGGCTCCAGGTCGCGGGGTCAGAGCCGGGACAGGGCCCGCAGCGGCCACACAGCTGCCTGACCCCCGAGTCGGGCGGCGCGGAGGGCTCGGACGCGGACGGCGGCCGCCAGCGCACGCCCGGGGCCGAGGACCCTCGGACGAGCGCGGTGGGTGGCGCCGAACCCGCGAACGCTGACGAACTGCACGGGCCGCGCGGAACCCGATGCTCACGAGGCGACGACAGGTGACGGGGCTGCGGTTCCCGGGCGCCTGGGCACTGGCAGCGGGCTCGGGGCCGGGAAAGCAGCGCTACGACTGCGCCCCTGTGAGCCGGGCGGGTGAGAAGGCACCGCCCCCTCCGTCCCAGGCCACGCCCCTACGCGTTCTGCGCACGCGCCGCCGCCTACCCCCGCGGGCCTCCAAACCTGCAGGCGGCGATGAGATCCTGTGGCCCGAACTAGTTCGCGTCGCGCTCTACTTACAACTACTTCCGGGTCAGAGGTCAGACGTTCCCGCGCTGCGTACACTATGGTGCAGCTCCGTCCGCGCGCCTCTCGTACCCCCGCGTCGGCGGAGGCGATGGTAGACGAGGGCCAGCCGGCCTCGGAGGAGGAGGCGGAGCACGGCCTACTGCTCGGGCAGCCCAGCAGCGGCGCGGCCGCGGAGCCGCTGGAGGAAGACGAGGAAGGGGACGATGAGTTTGATGACGAGGCCCCGGAGGAGCTGACTTTCGCCAGCGCCCAGGCGGAGGCGAAGGAGGAGGAGCGGCGAGTGCGCGAGACCGTGCGCAGGTTCGGAGCCCGCGGCCCGGGGCGGGGCGGCCCGCTCGCGACCTGCCCGTGCTCCCGCGCTGACTTCTCTCTCCGCCTCCAGGGACAAGACGCTCCTGAAGGAGAAGCGGAAGCGACGCGAGGAGCTCTTCATCGAACAGAAGGTGAGAGGGCAGGGGGCGTCTCCGTTCTGAAACAGCCTGGCCCGGGTTAGAATTCCCAGGTTTGATGCGGTGTGGGCGAGGAGGACCTTGGCTTCGGGGGAAAGTCACTCATGTTTGAGAAAGATGCCCGCGTTCCGTACTGTCCACCCACTGAAAATGGGAGAGAAGAGTGGTGAACTTGAAATCACAGCTCTGACGCTCAGCTGGCTGTGACTACACTTAGCTTCATTGCCTTCGCAGAAGGGTGTTGTTTAACCCCAAACTAGGTGAGAAAGATGATCTGTAAAGTTAAACGTTGTAGAAACAGTATGATTGCTTTGCTGTCTGGGGCTTGGCACGCCTGCCACAGCGCCCTGACTCGGAACAGTGACCTGACAGTTGCAGACTTCTGGACAGCCTTCCCGGTTTTCACCCAGGCTTCCAGAGAACGTGGAAGAGGTTCTGAGTTTTGTGGCCCCATCTTCCCCCCAACCTAGAGACAGCCGGGCCAGTGTCTAGCCTGATTCATTCATTTGCCAAAATAGACTGTCCTTAAAAAGTGGTGATTTAAGAAGTAACTCCAGATCGATCTTTATACACATCGTTTTTGTTGTGATAGGATCTCGATATGTAGTTTAAGATAGTCTTCAATTCTCACTGATTCTCTTGACTCAGCCTCCCAAATACTAGGATTACAGGCTGGCATTACACGCATGCACCGCCGTACCTTGTACATGACTTTTCAACTTACTTTTATATGTCTTTATTGTAAAAGAAAAGAAAACTCCTTCCAGACACAATTCTAGAGCAGTTAACAACAGCTTCACAGACTGGGTAAGTAACGGAATCTTCTATTACTTGCTTACATGTAGCCATTATTGAATTACTGGTACATTTGTTTGAACCCATATAATGGAAAGAAACACACAGCCTAAATTAAAGAGCTACACAGTAGTGTTTGAAAGATGGAAGGGAATGGTCCACTTCTTCTGTCATTTCTTTTGTTGATTCCTGTCGGTCATTGTAGCTTGAGTTCCTGATCCCAGTGTGTTCTGTGAAATATTTTGAGCACTTGCAGTACTTAGAGGTTAGAGTGCAGTAAACAAGTGTTTTAAAAATTACCATTTAGTGCAATGCCGTTTATCCACAGGCTTCTAAAACCCAACTTTTCCAGTTGCCTTACCTGCCCCCAAACCTGACCTCCTGTTTCCCATTTCATTTAGCAGCTTTGTTACAGACTGAATGTTGGGAGTCAGTCAAATTCTACTGAATTTGGTCTTACAAATATTGGGGTTTTTTTCCTACTGACCCCTTTACTGCTTTCACTTCAGAAGTTTAGCTCCCTTTTATCTAGGCCAGTGGGTCTCAAATTTTCAGTGAAAAAAATTTTCCAGAATTATTCAGATCCTGAATACATTAAATGTACAGCGGATGTTTGATAAATTCCTTTTCATCTTTCAAAACCAAGTTCAGGGGTCACATTTTGCTTCCCACATCCCCTGCCATCACTTCCGCCTTTGAGCCTTTCCTGTGTGCAGCTTTATCAACTGAAATTTGTCTCTTGGGACTGATTCTTCTCACCTTGTCCCTTTCGTGCTTCCCCCAGTATAATGAGACAGGCCTGACATTTACTTCACAGTCTGAATACTATGTTCTGTAACTCATTCTTAAGTCTTTAAATTCTAAGACACAGTATTTTTTTTGTTTTTGTTTTTCTCCGGTACCAGGAACCGAACTCACGACCTTGCTCTTGCCAGGCAGACGCTTTGCCGCTGAGCTAAATCCCCAGCCCCGACACAGGATTTTCTGATCCTAGAGTATTTGTTGATTGGGAGTTGGTGGCAGTGATTTGCTTTCTGGAACTGATGAAAGAGCCTGAGTGAAAATTGAGGGTGGCCGTAATGAAAGGGGTCAAATTATTTGTAAACTACATGAATCGTGTAACAATTTGAGTAATCTTTGCTGTCTGCCATTCCCGTTCATGTTCTTTTTATTTTTGCCTTAGCATAAAGAAATCACCAGGGAAGTTGAAAGAAGGTAAGAACTGTTCTCATTTAAGTAATTTCTCATTAAGTGTCAAGTGACTTGCAGATATTTTCACTTAAATGTTAATTGGCCCTTCTTTGAGCACATGAACCTACCCGGGGTAAGGCTAGCTTGAGCCCGTCCCTAATGTTTCTTTTTTTTTTTGGTTTTTTTCTCCGGTACCAGGAACCGAACTCACGACCTTGCGCTTGCCAGGCAGGCGCTTTTGCCGCTGAGCTAAATCCCCAGCCCCCGTCCCTAATGTTTCTTACAAATAGAACTTGCATCCACACTGGCAGGAGTGGATATTTAAAGTGAATTCCAGTAAATGTTTCTGATTTATTTTATGTAAGTGTTAATTAGAAAATCCAACTCATTTTTTAGTGAATTTACAAAAGAAAAGTGAAGAATGTGAAAAAGGAAGTGACTCCAAGAAAGTTAAAGTACAAAAAGTACAGTCTGTCAGGTAATGACCCCCTTCCCTGCCCCACTGCCACCTCCCTTAAAGTATTGCAGAAAATGTATTCCAGAAAATGTATTCCAGATTTCTCTGTAGAAAAAAAAGGAATTTTGATTAATTATACGTTTACTTAGTGTATAAGAATATAGATGATAATCTACTTGTAAAATAGACTTGTAACTTGTATTAATTATCTGTGCATAAACAAAATTAGAATTCCACTTTTTTGCACTGTTTAGAGACAACAGATGAAAATATTTGAAAGCATGTATTTAAAGGCTGGGGTGTAGCTCAGTGGCGGCGCCCTTGGCCAGCACATTCAGGGCCTGGGTTCAATCCTCAGCACT